CCCGGGGCCTTGGTGTTATCAGCACCGCACTCTCCCGAGTGAGCCACGGGCCGGCCCACAGGTAGTATATTAAAGGTTAGGGAAACAGAGTGGCATATACTTACCATGTCCCACGATGGCAAGAGTGAGAGGATAATCTCCGGGGGAAAGATCATCCTTCTTTTGGGATTGGGAACAGAGTGAAGGTCCTGGAGATTTTCAGTTTTTTGAGTCCTAAAATGGACGAAGTGTGAGGAGATGTTGGCTTGGGGGTTGAGTAGAGGGACCCTTCTGGGTTGGTGTTAGCAGATTCTTTGGGTAAAGTCTCAGGTGCTCATTTTACCAAGTATAAGTGATACCAAGGGGCCTTTCCTAGTACTTTTATTGCTGTGGGAGTGGTGAGAAGTACTATATAAGGCCCTTCCCAACATGGCAAGAGAGGCTTTGGGATTCGGGTTTTAATATACACTTGCTGTCCCAGGCTCAGTTTAAAGTCTGAGGGGGTGGTGGGGAAAGGATGAGGTAATAAAAGGTTGGCCCGCTCCTTAAGAAGATCCATAGTGAGCGAAAGAGTAGGGAGATACTGGCCTAAAGGCGATGAGCTGGAAGGGAGAGGTGTGAGAGTGAAGGGTCTACCGTACATTAGTTCAAAGGGGCTGAGGCCTGTGGGCTTGCGGGGGGCAGCCCATAGGCGAGTGAGTGACTGGAGCGTAGGCCAAAACGAGGGATGATTTCTGAGGTGAGAGCATGCGTTACTGCTGTAGCATCCTCTGAAGTGCAGGGAAAAGCCTCAACCCAACCTGAAAAGGTATCTACTAAGGTTAGACGATAGCGTGTCCTTTTGTGTTGAGGCACGTGAGCAAAGTCAATTTGCCAATTCTGGCCAGTAGTGTACATTCTGGCCTGGTAGGTGGGAAAGGATTGGAGCAACGAGTACGCAAAGGACAGTTTTGGGTGATTTGTTTTAGTAACTTGGCCATGTGGGGAGAGTAATATAAGGGCTGAGGAGAACATAGTAGGGTTTCATAGCTTATGTGAACTGAATTATGGAAATCTAAAAGGATTTGCTCAACTTGTGTGGAAGGGAGGGCATAGTGACTGGAGAGAGTATACCAGTTGTCCTTTCTCTGTGTCCCCAGCTGTTGGAGGTGTTGTATTTCTTGAGGTGTGTATTGGGGTAAGGGTGTAGGGGCCATGAGAAGGACCTGAGCAGGAGAGGAAGAGTGGGACCTGGTGATTGAGCAGCCTGTTTTGTGGTTAGATCCACTGGTTTGTTTCCCTGGGCTATGGGGTTGTTGGAGGTTTGGTGTCCTCTGCAGTGTATAACCCCAACCTCCTTTGGAAGTTGTGTAGCCTCAATAGCTTGTGTTAGGTTTACTATGGCATAACCCACCCGGGGGCGGGCATGGAGGTGGCGCTTCCATCTGTGAACCATGTAATTGGATGCAGGGAGATGTGTGGAAAGAGATTGAGAAAGGGGTCTAAAGCCTCCATGCAATTATGTTCTAAGGATCATGAGTGTTTTGGGATGAGAGTGGCTGGATTTAAGGGAGGGCGAGGTTTAAAGGAGAACTGGGAGTTTTCAATGGAGTTAAGTGAGTAAGTTGTAGGCAGGGAGGGGAGAGAATTGACTTGGCCTTATGGCTGAGAAGGTCTTGACTGTTGTTCAAAAGTTAGCTTAGAGCTTCCTTGTGCTAAAAGGGTGGCTGCCACCAAGGCCCATAAACAGGGGGGGTCCATCTTCAAGCTGTGGTATCTAGTTGTATAGAGAGGTATGCAACAGGGGAGAAAATATCTCCTGCCTCTTGTTTCAAAACCTCGACTACCAATCCTTGGGTTTCGGTGACATATAGGATAAAAGGATGAGATAGGTTTGAGAGAAATAGAGCTGGGGCTGCTAGGAGAGCGGCTTTTAATCGCTGGGAGGGAGAATGAATGGGCTTTGTGGGATCTAAGGGAATGGCAGGATCCTCTTTGGCTGCCCCATAAAGTGGCTTTGCTAGCACACCAAAGTTAGGAATCCATAGGCAAAGATATTCTGCAACCCCTAGAAAGAAAGGATTTCACCCTTCGTGGTAGGAGTAGGGAGTTCAGAAATTAAACTTTTGTGATCCACCCTTATATCTCTGGTATTGGGGGTGAGGTGAACTCCCAAATAGGCAACTGAAGGAGAAGAAATTTAGGCCTTGCTGGGGGACACTCGATATCCCCTGGAGGCCAGCTGGAAAGTAAGGAGAGCAACAGTGCGGGCCTGTGAATCCTCATAGGAGGGGCTACAAAGGAGGAGGTCATCCACGTATTGTATTAAAGTGCTAGAGGTTGGGGGAAGTTCAGATAAGTCTTT